AAACACCTTTAAAATCCCTCCTGGCCAGAGGAAAAACCCTTTCACCTGTAAAGGGTTAAGAAGCTAGGATAACCTCGCTGGCACCTGACCACAATGACCAATGAGGAGACAAGATACTTTCAAAGCCGGAGGAGGGGAGAAACAAAGGGTCTGGGTGATGCTTTTGCCGGGGTCAGAACAGGAATGGAGTCTTAGAACTTAGTAAGTAATCTAGCTAGATATGCATTCAATTACGATTTCTTTAAATGGCTGAGAAAATAAGCTGCACTGAAGGGAATGTATATTCCTGTTTTTGTGTCTTTTTGTAACTTAAGGTTTTGCCTAGAGGGATTCTCTATGTTTTGAATCTAATTACCCTTTAAGGTATTTACCATCCTGATTTTACAGAGGTGATTCTTTTACTTTTTCTTCTATTAAAATTCTTCTTTTAAGAAACTGAATGCTTTTTTTCATTGTTCTTAAGATCCAAGGGTCTTGGGTCTGTGGTCACCTATGCAAATTGGTGAGGATTTTTATCAAACCTTCCCCAGAGAAAAGGGGTTAAGATTTGGGAGGATTTTGGGGGGAAAGATGTTTCCAAATGAACTCTTTCCTAATAATAATAATACTGGTGTTAGACATTTGGTGGTGGCAGCAAAAGTCCAAGGGCAAAGGCTAAAATAGTTTGTACCTTGGGGAAGTTTTAACCTAAGCTGGCAAAAGTAAGCTTAGTCAGTTTTCATGCAGGTCCCCACATCTGTCCCCTAGCGTTCAGTGATATATGCCATCATGTGCCAGCAATGCCCCTCTGCCATGTACATTGGTCAAACTGGACAGTCTCTACGTAAAAGAATAAATGGACACAAATCAGTCGTCAAGAATTATAACATTCAAAAACCAGTCGGAGAACACTTCAATCTCTCTGGTCACTCGATTACAGACCTAAAAGTGGCAATTCTTCAACAAAAAAACTTCAAAAACAGACTCCAAGGAGAGACTGCTGAATTGGAATTAATTTGCAAACTGGATACAATTAACTTAGGCTTGAATAGAGACTGGGAGTGGATGAGTCATTACACAAAGTAAAACTATTTCCCATGTTTATTCCCCACCCCACCCCCCACTGTTCCTCAGATGTTCTTGTCAACTGCTGGAAATGGCCCACCTTGATTATCACTACAAAAGTTTTTCTTCCCTCCCCCCCCCCCCCCGCGCTCTCCTGCTGGTAATAGCTCATCTTAAGTGATCACTCTCCTTACAGTGTGTATGGTAACACCCATTGTTCCATGTTCTCTGTGTATATAAATCTCCCCACTGTATTTTCCACTGAATGCATCCAATGAAGTGAGCTGTAGCTCACGAAAGCTTATGCTCAAACAAATTTGTTAGTCTCTAAGGTGCCACAAGTCCTCCATATCTAGCTAGATTACTTACTAAATTCTGACAGGTTTCAGAGTAACAGCCGTGTTAGTCTGTATTCTCAAAAAGAAAAGGAGTACTTGTGGCACCTTAGAGACTAACCAATTTATTTGAGCATGAGCTTTCGTGAGCTACACCTCACTTCTAAGACTCCATTCCTTTCCTGTTCCCGGCAAAAGCTTCACAGAGACAGAGAGAGACCTTTGTTTCTCCCCCCTCCAGCTTTGAAAGTATCTTGTCTCCACATTGGTCATTTTGGTCAGATGCCAGTGAGGTTATCCTAGCTTCTTCACCCTTTACAGGTGAAAGGGTTTTTCCCCTGGCCAGGAGGGATTTTAAAGGTGTTTACCCTTCCCTTTATATTTATGACAGACCCATTTAAAAAAAAAAGGCTATACACAGAAGTGATTAATGTTGATGACTTCATACTAAGGCCCTGAGGGAAGCTGCATGCCATATACGTGACTTGTCACTGAGAGTGTAAAAAGCGAACAATGAAAAGAGCGAGCTTTCTGAACTGCCTTTGACAGCACTTTGTGTATGGTCAGTTTCATTTTCCCTTGCATCATTTACTTATGCAGTTTATCCCCTTGCTGAAAATAATAAACATAAACAGGGGAATAGAAAACTCTTTATAAATATGTTTTAAAAGAAATTAACAAAAAAAATCAGCACATAAACTATAAAGGTTGCTCTGTCAGGAACTGAAATTTTTAAAAACGAGTCATTTTTAAAATATTCCAGTTGACCATGTCCCTTTCAATTTTTTAAAAGGAATCAAACCTGTAGACTAACGTAGTTTACCATTAGATGTTGGCATAGGCTCCAACAAGGGAGAACATGCTTAAAAAAAAAAAATCTCTGGAGTCCTTTATCATTAAAAAAAGGGGAAATTCGAAGGAATATAAAAATTTAGGCCACCCCAGCTCTAACCATTTCAAATTGGGAACTAAACTAAACTAAATATTAGTTTTGGGAAGTTGTTGCTTCATAATTAAGTCAGCAAGTTTGTCAAAATAGGTCAGTGAATTAGTTATGTGCCTTTTGTACAATGACATCAAAAACACTATTTTTTTTCATTTCAATGTTGTCATATTGAGTACTTCCAGACCACTCCTCTGACCAACTCAGTTCCCCTGTCATAAATATCATATATGAACTGCAAAATACTACAGTAATGCAACGTTACAGTAATACAGTTGGACTAAGTCCAGAAATACACATATTTAGGTTCCTACATTAACTTGGTCACATTGCACACTTATAGCGCCAGAGCTTCAGGCCCATTAAATTACTTTGCCACCCTCATGGTGAAAAACCAATCTTAACAGGAGCTTTGCGAGCCAGTGGAGGATTTCCCCCTTTGTTAGGGATGTAGGACAGCTGCAGTGACTTTTACATTCCTCCCTCCCAGCCCTGGGTGTAGGGAGCCTTATTATGCAATGTTGTAGATGGGATTACAAGTAGCAATTAGAAATGAGTCACACTGTTTTCACAGTTGAAAATTCCAGCTTACTTTTTAAATTTATTCTCAGTTTACCTATTTAAATGGAAGCTGAAAATAGGACAAATTGGTGTCCCTGGCGAAACTACTGATCTGAAACTTTTCAGAAATCTATCACCAAGCAGTACCACTTTCCACAATGAAAGGAAACAGAAGAGGTGATAGACCAAACCTATGAATCTGCCCATTAAGGAAGAGAAATGAAAACTGAAAGAAAGACGTTTTAAAAATCTTAGATAACCAAACCTATGAACTCTGACAGAAATCACAAAAAGTAAATTGGTGGGGGTAGAGGGATAGGAAAAGGGTATTTTAAATTATTTATAGATTTTTCTCTATTACTGTTATTTAAACATCACTTAGATAGCATGGTAAAATTACACAGCACTTTATAAACAAGTTCCCTGGCAGAGAGAGTTAGCCATTACAAAGAATCACATTTTGTATTGCTACAGGATCAGACAGAAGAAAAAAGTGTCTGGGAAGGAGAATACAAAGCCCTAGTAATATTAGGAAACACAACAGAAGGAAAAAAAAAAAAAACCAAGTGAAAGGTCCTTTAAGCCTTTAAAGATTTCCCCGAATAAAATCCACCAAAGGAAAGCAACATAATTTAGCAGGCTGGAAAAGGAAATCTCACCCTGGTTCTGCCCCTACCTTGCTGTGTATCCTTGGCATGACAATTAACATTCCTAGTTGGCTCCATTTCCCTATTTGTAACATGAAGATATCACTTACTTCACAGACGTGTTGTTGAGATTGTAAAGGTATATGAGCACTAAGGATTATTATGATCAGAATGAAAATCTCTTATTAAGTTGCTGATGCTGTCAGGTGTTATTCACATTCAGTCAGGTATTATTCACATCATAGTCATGTGAAAGAAATAAAGGTAGGCTAATAAGCCTGTGCTCTTATATCTTGGCATTTAATAGCACATCTCAAATTGCCACATCTATTTCCTTTTCAGAAGCACCTGGCACAGTTTTATAGAGACAGTTTAACTTCATCCCAATGAGTTATTTCCCCTATGTATTTTTCCTTTGTGAGAAAATTTGGGTCAGATCTTGTAGTGCCTTTTTTAAAAACAAAAACCAGTCTTATGGCTTTATAAAAAAAATTACATCTGAAACATTTACATGTATTTTTCTTTCTTTAAACCAATTAATCCAAATCAATCATTTTCGGAGATTGATTTAACTTTGATCTACAAGAATTAAAAGCAATACCCTCAGGTCAATTTAAATTTAGATTTTTGTAAAAACCAGAGGGTCAATTTCAAAAGTGCTTGGCACCTACTGTTAGCAGCAGCTGGCGCCTTTGAAAATGATGCCCAGGAAAGATCAACAGAAATATTTCCATGGGTTTTTAAAAATCAGTTTTAAAACAGTTTTTTCTAAACACTCCTCTCCCTCTGAATTTGCAACCCAAACATTGCAGCACCATGCTGGAGCACAAAAGCCAGAATAAGTTAAACTGGTTTCCTTGTCTAATAAGAGGAATGCGATAAACCAGCCCCACCAACGGCAAGTTAAGGAATCTGATTGTCAAAGTCTTACCATGTAAATGATCTAATGTATGGTCACTTACACAAGGAAAGCCAATTTTCCCATATGTTTTTAACCTTGAAAGGGAACATTTTATCTTTTAAAGTTCTTTCCTGCTTGCCAAAATTGCTAAAGAACATACGGGCAGGGGCACAGGAATAATTGTGATAGTGGGGGGTGCTGAAAGCCATTTAACCAAACTATATATAATCGAAACCACTTCAAGCCAGGGTATGTAGCAGCACCCCTGGTCCCAGCACCTATGTAAGGGGTGAAACAGCTTTACTCCCTCTCCTGAAAAGTACTTTAGGAAAGCACCTGGAGGACCAAGCAGGAGAATCCCAGCATTGCAAACACTGAGGGGTCTGTGAGAAGAGCAAAGGGATTTGTGTAACGCCACAGGAACCACAGCTCCATGCTACGACTGCGATATTTTGGAAGAAAGAGATACTGTCATCTAAATTCTTGCGGCTTGCTTTCTGGAGCAAGCTGATTGGCTAATGACCTCACTGATCGTATATGCTGGATCTCTGTGCGAAGCGAACGAGCCAGACTGGCTGTGGATGGTTAAGAGGGCAGGGAGCCCAGGATTTTTGCTGTTCGGTTTTCTTTCTATTTGATCGGGAAAGGAGAGGGGGTGGGGAAAGCTAATATCCAGCTTTGCTGATTGAAAGTAGCTGACTCCGTGTCGGGTAAGTGTCTTTCTCTCTATGAAGTTTGCTTGGTTTATGAAAGTGATCTTATTTTTAAAGTCCACGTAGAAAACATTCCGCCTTTGTTTAAAGCGATCACTGTTTGTTTTAAAACTCTGGTTTTCATTGAAAACCAATATCTGAAACTAACTTGAACGCACGCTTTAAACTTTTACTTTTTTTGGCGTTTTCATGTTCTGAGTCAAACCGTTTTACAACTCGCTTGTTCCAAGTGTTTCCTTTTAAAACTCCTCTTGTTCTTAACTTCGCAGAGAATATCTGAGTTAAAAAAGGGTGCTCTCTCCACATTTTAAACTACTTCTTGCAGCACGTTCTGCTCGAATGACTGGGTTCAGTTTAGAGTGAATCTATTCGAACTTTATTTGGTATGGACTGCTAAAGGAGAGATGTAATATACTAGAAGATAGCTAATCAGACCGGGCTGTTGCTCTTCATTGGTGATCATCTAAACACCCTTCTAAAACAAACAAACAATTTTTCTATGGCCCCCTTGTGGATCTCCCCGCCCCGCCCCTTCCATGGAGGGAAAGCTTGCAGCTCGACAGAGAAACAAGCCATTCAAAGTGGCGGTGGAGTATGAAAATCCCTTGTTTCCTCCCTCCTGAATCCTTCTCAGCCTCCTAGCTCTTCTGATTATTTCTGCTGTTAAAAACTTCAGCGGCTGTTCCTACGTCTACCCAGTAAAACAAGCAAATCCGGCTCAGAGAGTTTCTTTGCTGCTAGGTAGATTGCAAAATACAACCTCCCATCTGAGCACGGCTGAAATCCTCCTAGTAAACAGGCAACAGTTTCTCTCGGAGAGAGAGACTCTCCTACCCAGAGACTGTTGTATTCCTTGAATCTTTAGAAACCTGTGTCTTTTTCCCGCTTGGAGGGGTGGATAAAGGAATCCTGCCTCTCAACTTTAGATCAAAGTAAAGCATTAAAGTGGCACTGCAATAAGGCTAAGGAAACTTTTTGTCCTTGCACGTGAACAGACACCTGATTTTGCAGCCTGAATACAGGTTTCCATTGTGTGTTGTGGCTATATCTGTCCCCTAGCCGAGAGGGAGGGCTTTCCCACAGTAACTTCCTTTGTTCCTTCAGGAAAAAAGGAACTGTGCCCCTGGCTGGCCACGTGGTTGCAATTTGCTCTCTACCTCTCTCTACCGATGCCGAGCGCACACCCGGAGCTAGCTCGGCAGCCTTGGTCACCACATCCAATACTAACTTGATTGCAAAGTGTGCTCATCTTCCCAGGGATGAAACCGATGTGGTTCCTACAGAAGCTACTGTAAAAGCCTGTAGAACTTAAAGGAGTGATATATTTTTCTAGAGGGGTTTTCCTACCACCCCATATAATTCCAGAGCGGGGATACTGTTGAAAATTTTTTCAGACTTTCCCTCTAGAGTGGAGCAGACAAGGCTGAATGAAACTCAGCAGCAGCTCCCGCCAGAGTTGCGAGGACTGGGATTTTACGTGGAAATAGGTGGTGCCCCTTCATACGACCTCTAGATCTTGTTCACAACCTCTGGACAAGGCTTGGAGTTCGTGGCTTCAGATTAGGGGTGGGGGAATTTGTGTGTCACGTTTTGGGGGATTTCAGAGGAACAGCCGTGTTAGTCTGTATTCACAAAAAGAAAAGGAGTACTTGTGGCACCTTGGAGACTAACCAATTTATTTGAGCATGAGCTTTCGTGAGCTACAGCTCACGATGAACATCTGATGAAGTGAGCTGTAGCTCACGAAAGCTCATGCTCAAATAAATTGGTTAGTCTCTAAGGTGCCACAAGTACTCCTTTTCGTTTTGGGGGGTGTGGATCAGAAAGTGTGGCGGGGCAGCACAGACTTCTGCTAGCCTTGAATTCTTGCAGCCCTCTTTGGTCTGGGCCAATAGAAAATGGTGGGAGTTGTGGAGCATCTTTCTTAAATCCTAATCTGCATTGGGTCTTTGTGGGTTGGAATTTGCAGGAAGGCTGCTTACAATTCCTTGGGGACTTGAACCAGTCAATGTTGTTTCATACAGCTTCCCCCCCTGCTCCGTGAAATCTTGACTGAAATGGCTGACAGGCGCCCAGTGCGAGCAGGGCCCCTGTGAAAGAAAGGGGTGCCCTAAGAAGCTGTGGAGGCTTTGCTTTTTTCTTGGGACTTGAAAGGAGTGCAGGCAGACTGTGGGACCTAAGAGTTTTTGGAGAGTCTAACCTCTAACTTCTATCCCCCTGGGATGGCCAAGAGTTAGGTTTCCTTGTAATCCTATGGCTAGTGGGCGAGGAAACTAGTCAATTTTAAACCCCCTAGGCCTGATTCTCTAAGGCGTTGCATTTCATGGAGTTAATTTACACCTGTGCAAAGTGGCTGTAAAAAGCTACTATTTTGAGTTAGCCACACACAGCAGTGGAGGATTGGGACCAGTGAGCTTTCTGCTCCTAATGGGCTTTTCCCATGTACAAGAACATGTTAGTTTTGTGACTACAGTACCATTTATGTCAGTTGATGCAGTCCCTCCTAGCAGCAGTGTGTATAAGTGCCCAAATCCATTGCAATTGCTTGAGGGGGAGGGAGTTTCTTCTGACCTATCATCTCTAATGTTTTGTATTTTTTTTCCCCATCCTCACCAATCTTTTTTTTCTCATTGCAGTTGGAAAGGGTCATCCTAGAAAATGAAGGAGCAAACTTCTAAAATGCAAAATTATTTGCTCCTGTGAGGTTTTTTTAATATGCATAGAAATGCTAGCCCATACATGGGGGAACAAAAGGCAGCTAAAACATCACTGATGTGACAAACCAGATGGATAGCATGGTTTCACAGTGAGCACAGAAAAACCTCAAAGTTCATGACTGGTGTCTGTCTGGAGACAAGTTTTCTGCCAGGTTGGACTGATTTCAGTGTGAAGTTTGGAGGTTTTTCTGCTATTAAAAAAAATGTTAGTTACAAAGGCACTGTTGAAGACAACTAAAGTGAACAAAAATAAATAAATAAAACTCTGCACCCATAACTTTCAGTGGTTGTACCTACTGCTTAGTAAGGTAGAAAATCTAATTTTGAGCCTCTTTTAGTGGAACAGAGATGTGACTTAACTGTGCTGTCTTAAATTACTGTGGAAATGTTTGTTAGAAGCAAGATGTTTGGTGCCAAATGCTGGCCACTGTGGTAGTCAGGTCACACTATCTGAACCTGGCCAAACTGGACTAATGACTATGGGGGAAAAAAATCAGAACATTAATTACCCAAAGGCAGGGGAGGAGTATGTGGAAATTCCTGAATTTTAGTGTCTGAAATACTGTAAACAGTGGGCTACTGCATCTATTGTTTTGTTTCTACAGCAACCAAAGCATGTAAAGTTCTTTACATATGAAAACAAGTGAGATCCATGCCCTAAAGAACTTGCAATCTAAATACTGATCCTAACTGAGAGCTTCATCTGGCACCTGTCAAAAACAGAGTTTGATAACATTGAGCTTTTTCTTAAAACTTCTCACTGTTGCATTGTCCCTGGGGTGGCCAAAACTACTACTTCCATCGATGGTAATGCAGGTGGAACTAATGCACTTGAGCTGCAAAGAAAAGGTAAGTGTAGCAAGGCTTTGGTATCCCTGAGGCCTTGTGTACACTGCCACTTTGCAGCCCTGCAACTTTCTCCCTCACTGGGTGTGGAAAAATACCCGCTCCCCCTCGAGTGCGGCAAGTTTCAGCTCTGTAAAGTGGCAGCGTAGACCATGCCCCAGTGCTGGGAGCCGCTCCCCTTGTGGGGGTGGATTTTGTTTTTCAGTGCTGGGAGAGCTCTCTCCTAGTGCTGATACCGCGACTACATGGCCGTGGTAGCGATTTAACGGTACTAGCGAAAACATACCCAGAGTATCTTACTATCTACTTACATGGCCTACATAATTGTAGTATCTCTCTAGTAGCTAGGAGTAATCCTGTGGATCACTCTTGAATGAGACCCCTCAAACTCAACTCTGTATTCAATGGGGAGTCAGTGCAGAAAATCTAGATTGGGTGTTGGAGATGTGTTCACTAAGCAAATGGGCTGCTGCATCTTGTACGATGTGTTTGGTTTTGCTCTGAGTTACTATAACAAAGTCTAGTGCTCACATGAGGACATAGATCACTGTGGCCACATCTGTGTCTGACAGGATGTGGGTGTAATTTTCTGGTTGCTGGCAGAAGGAAGTGAAAGTCAATGCCCAAATAGTGATGGAAGAATCCTAAAACAGCAGTTCCCAAACCTTGTCCTTGCATGACCTCATTTTCAGATGTATTGCTTCCTGCGATCCAATGCCACATGGAGGATGCTATTTTACTTTACAAAATGGCATCCTTTGCACAGCATGACCTTATGGTGCGTGCAAGGTCATGCTTACATGAAGATCACCATGGATAAAATGGCATCTTCCATACTCGGGATTGCCACAACCCCATCTGCTAAGGAAGTGACCCCATTTGGGGTTGCAACTCAGTGTGGGAACTGTCTTCCAAGAGCTGCAGATTGACCTAACAGGACACTTTCCCTCAAGTAGGGAATGTTCTAGAAAAGGCAGATTTTTGTGACACATTTCCCTCTTACCAGCATCACCTCAGTCTTCCCATCGTATCTACATTTTTAGACCTATTGTGTGGCATAACATTCGAGTGTGTTGTGGCATCTAGTCCTTGGGGCACGTATACTAGTCCAGTCTGTCAACTTTCCCAGGTGAGGCTTGGTTGGCTACTAGGTCCTTCAAAAACTGACTTCTTTACAAAAACTTGGACAAAACATGATTGTTCTTGTGAAATTGCCAGGGATGCTAAAACATGCTCTGAAAACATTCTGGACTTGAAAGGTGGACCATGCATCCCTATCAGTCACCTTGTGCTCAGCAATAGCCCCCACGCCATCTTTAACACTAAGTCCTATTTTGCTAAGGCTGTGCTAGAGGGGGATGTCCCTTCACCAGTGGCATCTTTAACTTTCCCAGGGATGGCTGGGACATGGGCAGAAGAGATTTAGATCAAACT